CACTTCCACCAGCCTGCCCCCAGAAATCTGACCACGGCCCTCTGGCTCCAGTCCTGTCCCAAGGCCACCAGACTCAACAGTGGTCCCCAACTCCAGCCACTGCTCACGTCACACAGGCCCCTCCCCAAATATTGGACTGGGGACTCACTGTTTGGACTGGGGACTCAGCAGCCTCGCACCCCAGTGCTGGGAGAGGGTGCTTAAGGAGGGGAGAAGTTTTACCACTGGTGAATAAATAGATGAAGGAAAGAAGAGGAAAGAAGGAAGAGACGGAGGAGTGGAGGGAAGAAGGAAGGAAGGGAGGGGAGGAATTCCCTGCCTTTTTGATTAAACGTTCCAGGTCGGGCCAGCCCAGTTAACGAGACCGTTAATTAAGCAGCGCAGGATTCAACTGACAGGAAGGCCCTGCCCCCCGCAGAGATGTTCTGGAAACCAAGCAGTCCGCAGAAGCGAGTGAGGGGAAACAGCGGCTTTGTCACCCCTGCTTTCCAGGGTTCAGCCTATACCCTGCCCTCCTGGGGACGCCCAGGCCCCAACACTCTCTCAGCCTGGACTTGGGGCTGCCCCCAGCTGGCCACCTCCATGGGGACCCCAGAAAGCTCACCCCCGGCCACCTCGCTCCCATCCTCCCACCATTCCTCTGTATCCCTGCCCGGGCGCCCAGACCTAAGCCCCTGCGCTGACCCACTCCAAGCGCCCGGTGGCCGTCCACCCAAGCCAGCCTGGGCGCACACGGTCCGGGGATCATCCGGCAAACCCGAACTCCAGAGGGCAGGGACTGGCGACTTAACCTGCCAACTCGGCTCTCTGGGTCTTGCCGGAGCGCCAAACCGGCCGCTCTTCTCCAGGCTCCGGGCAGCAGGGCCCAGCCTCCACGTCCGCTCCTACTCGGGGGCCGATTCCTCGCGGCGGCGGGCAGTGCGCGGCGGCGCGGCGGGACGCTGAGTGTGTGTGCGCAGCGCGGCCTATATTTACACCCCAAACAAAATAATTACACTTTTGTCGGAGGGAGAGAGCCAGTGATTAGGCGCGGGCTCTTTGCGGCAAAACAGTTTCTCAGTGGTACACCAGTATAATTTTTCACGGCTGGCTGAAATCAAAGAGGGGAGGTAATGAATCCGGCGAGCAATTTAAATTTACAATTTGTAACGCCGCCGCCGCGCAGACCCGGCCGAAAGCGCAGCTCTGAGGCGCTCGCTGCGTTTGTTTAATGTTAAAGCCGCGCTGGCTCCGGGGGGGTGGGGCGGGGGTGGAGTGTGCGTGTTGGGTGGGGGGAGGTAATGATGGAAATCGGGAGAGGACAGGCTGGGCCGCCCCAGAGACCGCGGGGAGAAGACGACGAGGGGCGCGCTTCTCGGGTTCCCCCAGCGCGCGCGCTCCCCGAGAAAGCAGGCCACTCCAGTCCATTCAAAGCAAGCGGTTTGTCTTCAGACGGAGCGAAGGGAGATGCTCTGGCTGCCAGAAAATCCCCGTTTCTGCTTGGCTGCAGAATCTCCCCAGGATGGAGAGTTTCCGGTGAGGGGCAGGGAAGTGTTCTACAACCTGCGGGAAGGTCGGTTCCAAACGCTCAGAAGAGTCAGTCCGGCCGCTGCCCCAAGTCCCAGGCTGGAAAAGTCGGGAAAGGCGCCTCCCCGCAATCCCAGCTCAGCGCACCTCGAAACGCCCACCCCCGGGCGGGTGTGCGCCTCCTCGCCGGTAATTAATTACCGAACTCAAGGGGGAATATGCAAACCGCGTATTACTAACTCTACAGGGCTTAAGTGATTGGAAACAGATTACTATCTTGTTTGTCTTTTGTCTGTTTTACTTATCCCGCCGCCGTCTGTCGAGTTGTAATGTTGATACTCTTTACTCTAGGAGGAAGATTTTTATATAGTAAATTCCATCAACATCTTGTATAAGTGACATTGCGTCTCCATGCATTACCCTGTTAAGACACAAGCAGTTTATTAGTTACATATAGGAGGGGATTTCGCTGCCTGGTCGCCATCTGTTAGCGCTGTTAGGGCGGGATAATTCGTCTAATAGTTGGTCTGCTGGCGTTTTTTTTTTTTTTTTTTCGGAAGCTGCGCGCCCTTGAAGGTGGAGGGCCAAGAGAGATGCGGCTGCCGTTGGACTGGAGCGAGGCGGTTTTGGACTGAGCGTGGGCTGTTCTCAGCGTCCCAGGGTGATTCCAAGAGGCTGTGACCTGGTCAGGATGGGTAAACTCAGTTACATGAGGCAGAAGGCCAGGCCGGGGCTTCTGGAAGTGAAGCTTCATCTTCAGCCCCTGGGCATCCATCCCTGGGGTGATTCGCCACATCCAGGATAGGGGGAGGGGGCATGTTCCTCCTACTTCCCTAGCCTTGCACCTCAGTGGCTGGGGCCTGATGGTGCGTTGGCATTTAAGCCCATAGAGGAGGTGAGGGCAGGTGGGTTTATTCTAGATGTAGTTTGGTACACAGGCACCCAGCAGCCAGCAGGGTGGGCAGAGCTGGGGTGGAAAGACCTGGCTTTTCAGGTACCCACTCAGGATAGGGGGAGGCGGCTCAGCGCGCCTAGTCCAGAGCAAGGGGGAAGGATATCATCTAGACAGCAGCTTTAATCCTCGGCGTGCACAAAGAGAATCCTTCATTGCAGCTTTGAGTTGGATACCAGATCGGAATGCCCAGCAGAAAGCCAGAGTCAGGGAAATAAAAATCGAGAGATACCAAGAAAGAAAGTGATGGGGAGATGGAGGGAAAAGGAAACAGAAAAAGAACAGAGGCTGAACATAAGAGAGACAGAAAGGAAACAATGTGAAGAAACTCGGGAGAGATGAAGACAAAGACCAAGGAGGCATCTCGATTCGCCTCCACTTGGAGCCTGAGTGCCTCTTTTTTCTCTCCGGTGCTGTTTCACTCTGTCCCTGCCCTTTCTCAGCTCAATGACCCTTCATAGCCCAGGAGGGCAAGGCCAGGCACTGCCAGAAACTGCGATTTCATGTGGGGCTCCTGGAGCTCTCCCAGCCTGGCCTGGGAGACCCAGCAAGATCCGGCCTCCTTGTTCCTGGCTGGTCCCAGCTCCAATCAGCCACACCTGTTCCTTGCTCGCAAGCTGGAGGACAGAGTGACAGCAGAAGTGGCCCAGTTTGGGGACTCCCTTTCGGAAGTCCAGCTTGGGGGCCAGCACCCCACCCCAGTGACCAGCACCTGTCAATTCCTGTGCGAAGCCAAATCACTTCCCATAGAGACGGTGGCCTGTGAGGGGAAGCTAGAGGTCTGGACAGAAACCCAGGGGGAAAGTGAACACCCCAGAGCCTCCACCAACTACCCCAATTCAGGCATCCACAAATGCTGCCCCATTTCAAATCCACAAGGGCAAGCACACTAGAAGTACACACACAAACATACCCCTCCCTGGGGGGGAAAAACACCGCAGGAGTCACATAAACAAAATTACAGCTATCTGCAGAACTACACACAAACACGCACACACACACACTGATTGACCCACAAACACATATCCACAAAATTTCACACTCACAAACACACCCAACCCAGCTCAGTCACACACACACACACACACGCTCAGCTGCACACAATTCCAATTCTTCAAAATCCACTTTCACATCCATGTTAGCACACACCTACACAAGCAATCTTACACAGATGCACACGCACATAAGCAAATACTCTCACATTCATGTGGCTGCAAATATGCACATATATACATATATATGTACACACTAACCAACAAAAACAAAAGCACGCAGACTAATATACACAAATATTAGCAGAGCTATGCACAGGTACAAACACAAAAGATACACATGCCAAAATATATTCATATACTTGATTCCTGAGTAATATAAACAGAGGCAAAAACAAGATTCTCAAACAGCAAATGTATATTAACAAACTCAACAAATGCACCCAAACACATATCCATACCCAAGCCTTGGGGTGTACACATGCAAGAGCACCCGCGCGCACACACATACACACACACACACACACACACACACACACACACAAACTCTACACTCATCTGGCTCCCAGCCTGTGGGCCCAAGCCCTACAGAACCCATCGGCCCTCTTTTCTGGAGTGGGAAGGGAAAATCCCCACCTAGCTTGCCTGGCCTCCCTAACAGAGCACCCAGTTCATTGACTGGGTTGGCACTTTGGGAAAGAGGCATGTTTTTTTCCCTCCCCCACCAGAGTCACAGTCCCCCTCCACATACACCTGCGAACACCGCCCCCCCCCCACCCACCCTGCAACACGCTCGGAGGCCCGTGGAACGGCACTTCCTGCCTCCTATGTAGAATCGAACCTGCACACACAGCCGGGACGCCCAGCGCGTGCAAACAGCGCCCGCGCAATCTTCCAGCGTGCCGCCTCGGCCGCGCTACCCACTCACCGCGGCGCCCAGACTGGCTGACCCGGGATCCGGAAGGTGCCACGAGGAGAGCGGAGACGCGGTGAATGCCACTTCTGAGCTGGCTTCGGAAAGACCGGTGCGCTTTCCCACCGGAAAGACCGGTGGGGAGTATCCCACTCCCCACATCTCCCCTAAGTCCCGTGGCCAGCGCGGGGTCTTGGAGCGGGCCAGAGGACATGCCCCCCCAACCTGGGCCTGGGCCTGTTCTGTCTTTCTCTTTTTCTCCTTGAGAAAGGCCGGGCTTGTCCCCAGTCCCCGTGTATGACAAAGGAAACCGGGGACGCCTCCCGGGAGTCCCGGGAACCTCTCTGTCGCAGCTCCAGGGCGCTGACCCCAGGGGTGCGCGGGTAGGGGGAGTCCAAAACGGCGGGCTGGGCTGGGGAAAAGGAGGCAGACAGAGCGCGTGATCCTCGCCTTGGGCAACTTCTGGAAGTTCCGTGGATGGAGAAGGGGGCAGAGGTTCCCCACCTCCCCACTAGGCCTTGGAACCCTGGCCCCCCCAGATATGTGTGAGGCGAGAGAAGAGAGAGGCAGTTCTCAGATCGCGCGGCCCCCCAGCCCCCAGCCCCAAACTGGAAGGTAAATACTTACTTTGCCTCCGAACCAGGTACAAGCTAATACTCAACAATACTGATGCCTTGTTTTTTTTGCTCTGTCCGGACCGCAACGCTGTAGCCAATTTAGATATGCTATAAATTTAAGAGGTTGCCATGGCCACCGCGCGCCCATTGGCCGCCGGGCCCCCTACGTGCCGCGCCACGTCACCAAATCTGAATAAGGATGCGCGAATTAGGCGGCGGCCAGACAAAGATGAGGATCGGGACCGCTTGAAAGTGGGGGAAAGTGCCGGCGCCTCCGCCACCGGGGAAAGCCGCTCGGCAGAGCCAAGGCCAGCAGCCACCCAAGATATACTGGGGCGCGCGGCCCGGGGCATGAGGCTGTGAACGCCACCAGTCCCCACCCCACCGTGGGCAGGCTAGCGCCAGGCCCAGCAATCACCCGAGGACTTGACCGGCTGAGTCTTGGTTCGGACCGGACTCTCCCGGCGGCGGCCAAGAGGAGAGGCAGAGAGCAGCGGCGGGGCCGGGGGCCCGAGGGCCGGGGGCCCAAAGGGAGGTCGAGGCGGCCCGAGCCGCCGGGGCGCGGGGCTATGATGGTGCACTGTGCCGGTTGCGAGCGGCCCATCCTCGATCGCTTTCTGCTGAACGTGCTGGACCGCGCGTGGCATATCAAATGCGTTCAGTGCTGCGAGTGTAAAACCAACCTCTCGGAGAAGTGCTTCTCACGCGAGGGCAAGCTCTACTGCAAAAATGACTTCTTCAGGTAAGAGGCCCGTGCCGCCCCTGCTTGCTGCCCGCGCGCCCGCCCAGCGCGCGCTCCGTTGGGGCACCGGGGAACGGGAGAGACCCACCCCAGCCTCCCGGTCTCACCAGCTTCAGTGGGGAGCCGGTTCGCCCAGCAAGCTCTTGCAGTCCTCGGTCCAGCAAGGGCCGGAACACAGGTGGAGTGAGAAGAACGCGGCTGGGCTGCTTCTAGCTGTCTTTTCCAGGCCGGCTTGGATCGATGGTGGGGCAGGGGGAGGAAGCCTGACTAACTTGCTCCACACTCGTCTCTGCCCCTTCCTAGCCGGCATCACCCCAGGGTGGAAGCTTCCAGCCAGGCTATGAGAGACTAAGGATTCTGGCGAAGTTAGGGACAGCCGAGGGCTTCTCCCACCAGGCAGAGTGCGGGGTGTCCAGAGGCTGGGCTCTGAGCAGGTAGGGTTCCCAGGGCCTTTCTGGACAAACAGAAACTTCCCAGCTCCAGAGGGGGCTCAGCCAGAAAGATCTCCTCTGGTGATGGGAAGGAATCTTCTCCTCAACCCCCCCATCCGCATCCCCTCCCCCCACTGGCCCCAAACTCCTTAAACATTTTCTCTTCTGTTGAAAGTACAAATGAAATGAAGCTGGAATCAGGACCTGCAGGGTCTACCCTTGCTGCCCACTCGGGCCCTCAGGCAGATCACAGAGATCACTTCTCTCAGTCTCGGTTTCCCAGCTGAGAAATGTTGAGGGTTGGCCTGGAAGGCTGTGGGGGTTTTGGCCGCTCGGCCTGGCCCTCTTCCCCACGGGTGCCCAGAGTCGGCTTTGTGAGTGCGAATTCCAGGCGCAGAGAGAAGAGGGGGGCGTGATTAACGCTGTGCAGAAAGGCTGCTCACCGGCCTCGGTGAGCTGGCACTGGGGAATTTGAATAGGAGAAAATGTCAGGCTCGCCTTTACACGTGTAAACTCCCCGGCCCCAGAGGCCCAAGGCCCCTAATGTGGTGGTGCTTGCAAAGCACCTAATGATTTTTGATAAGGTGCATATGGCCAATTATGCTGCCGGATAAGGCCAAAAGTGACTTATGGCTTCTAATGCCCTCACTACATCAACGTCACCCAAATTCGCCCTGTTCAGAGACGTGGGTGTGAGTAGACATGGGGCCCCAGAGCCCGGGGCCCTCGCCCTCTCTCCCCCTGCGCCTCGCTGCTCCCGCTTCTCCTCATCCCTCCCAGTGCCAGTCTGCACCATCCATTTCGGGGGAGGCCGGCCTTCTCCCTGCATTCTTGGAAGAAAGAAAAGGATTTAGACCGGGAACACAGAAAAGGAGGCATTGGAGAGATCCCGAGTTCTGGCCATGCAGGTTTAGGACTGCCTACTGATCACATATCCTCCTCCCCTGCCTGCCAGGGCCTGGGATCTGGGGACCGGGAGGTCCAGTCCCTGCCTTCCAGAATCCATAGGCCCCTGACCAGCTCCAGTGGGGCCCAGAGCAGGGCCTGGAAAGTCTACAGCACTGGGAATCAGCAGAGGCGCTCTCCTTCCTGCTTAGGTTCAGCTCAGGAGAGGGGACCCCTCCGTGTTCCATTGCTAGGACCCACAAGCCAGGCTGATTGACCCCACCTGGATCCCAGCAGACTGTTAAGGATCCAGAAGGCAAAGCCGAGAAGTGGTCCCAACCCGCCCTGCCTGGCTTTAAAATCCTTCCTGACCTCAAGAGCAGAGTTTGCCTGGAGCATCCCAGGCGAATCTTGTAGGGGTGGGTGGTGGAGGAGGGGCACAACTTGGGGTGCTCTTGGCCTTCTCCTGGGCTGAAGGCTGTGCCCAGCAGAGTTCAAACAAACCCGACCGCCGAGGCCCGAGAGTCCCAAGCTCAGTCCTGGGTGTTTCGGCTCCCGGCTGGCATTTCCGGCCAGGGAGGACGGGACTGGGATCTTCTATTGACAGATGTGGAAATGGAGGCTTCTCAGGAGCGAGGGCGGGGCAGGAAGAGGTCAGGGCTTCGGGGAGGATGGGACGCTGGGCTGGCCTCAGGTGACAGGCCGTGTGGCGTCCGCAGGCGCTTTGGCACCAAGTGTGCAGGCTGTGCGCAAGGCATCTCGCCCAGCGACCTGGTACGCAAGGCCCGCAGCAAAGTCTTCCACCTCAACTGCTTCACCTGCATGGTCTGCAACAAGCAGCTCTCCACGGGCGAGGAACTCTATGTCATCGACGAGAACAAGTTCGTGTGCAAGGATGACTACCTGAGCTCGTCCAGCCTCAAGGAGGGCAGCCTCAACTCGGGTAGGAGGCCCTCGCCCCTCCCCAGCCGAGCCCCAGCGCCCTCCCTACTTTGCTCCCTGGCTGGAGGCGGTGCCGGGGCTCAGAGCTCTCCACTCTGAGGTCAAGGCACACGGAGGGGCCGTGGGGGGCTGGCGAAGAGGGTCAGCGTTTGCAGCCAGTCTCTCAGCATACTTGCCACTCAGCTCTTCCCCTGCCCTCCTCCAATTCTAGTCCAAGCGGTCCTCCTCTCCCCGCCCCCTCCAATTTGGAGCCGCGCCGTTTCCCCTTTCCGAGTTTTTTCAGCTCCTGGTAATTTCTAGCTGCATAGTGAGGACAGTAATTGGGGTCTGCAGGAAGGAGAGGTGGGAAAGGAAGATCCCAGGCTAGGAGGGCGTCAGGACCCTCCTCGCGTCCCCTCTCCCGAGAGCGCGCCTCCCCCTTTCGCAAGCGCTAGCTGAGAAGTGCTGAGAGGGCGTGAGAAGGGCCCCTCGAAGGCCCGGCCCCGCCTGGAGGGAGTGGGCGGGCGTCGGGCCCCTGGGGGAGGGGCTGTGGCAGGTTTGGGGTGGGAAACCCGCCGCGGTTGGTGGTGGCCGGGGCCGCCGGGAACCGCTACCGGACTGGAGAGGTCTTGGGCCGCCGCTGACGCCCGGTTCCCTTCCCGCTCCGTCCGCCCACAGTGTCGTCCTGTACGGACCGCAGCTTGTCCCCGGATCTCCAGGATCCACTCCAGGACGATCCCAAGGAGACCGACAACTCGACGTCGTCGGACAAGGAGACGGCCAACAACGAGAACGAGGAGCAGAACTCGGGCACCAAGCGGCGTGGCCCGCGCACCACCATCAAAGCCAAGCAGCTGGAGACGCTCAAGGCCGCCTTCGCCGCCACGCCCAAGCCCACGCGCCACATCCGCGAGCAGCTGGCGCAGGAGACCGGCCTCAACATGCGCGTCATCCAGGTGCGGCCCGGGCGGGGCCACCCTCCCCAGCGCCGCTGCGTCTGCGAGCAGCGAAGCTCGGAGGAGCCTCGCACCCAGGCTCCTTGGCTAAGAGCGCGCCGAGTTCGATCCAGGGGCAGGCGGTGCGCCCGAGGTCGGGGCCCGCTGGTCACACCCCTAGCCGGAAGATCCAGGCCGGCCCTGCTGTCTTCCAGCGGTGTCGTCTTGGGCGGGTCACTTCACCTCTCTGATTCCCGCCCCTCGCCCCTTTCAAGGAAGGTTTTAAGCCTCGCTGGAGTACGGGGACCTTTCCCTTCCTCCCATCCTCTGAGCAGAGAAAGAGGCGCTGTTTGTTCTCCGCGTGCTCCCTCCGGGCGCCCGACAAACGGCCAGAGCCCGGCTGGGGGAGGCGAGGGGCCGAGACCAGCGCCTTGCCGAGCGGGAGGCCTTTATAAAGCCGTCACACCACGGACGGGCCAAGGACCAGGAAGCCCAGCTCTTTATGAGTCGCCCCACGGGTCCGCGAAATCCTTCACCCTTGGCTGGTTCGCCGAGGCCCCTCTCCACCCCTCTGGTCTAATCCGGCCCGGCCCCCCGGCTCAGGGCATTCTTGGTGCGAAGGAGGCGCTAGGACCCAGCAGGGGCGGCCACGGCAGGGAAAGAAGGGAACCCAGATCAGAGCTCACGGCCCCCTCCTCTGTCCCAGGTGTGGTTCCAGAACCGACGGTCCAAAGAACGCCGGATGAAACAGCTGAGCGCCCTGGGCGCCCGGAGACACGCCTTCTTCCGGAGTCCGAGGCGCATGCGTCCGCTGGGCGGTCGCTTGGACGAGTCGGAGATGTTAGGGTCCACTCCGTATACCTACTACGGAGGTAAGCACCCCGCCTTGGACGCGGTGCCCCACACCTAGGTCAGTGCTGGTTGAGAGGGCAGGCCTGGATCCCTGCGATCTGGGGTGCCCGGGGACCCCTTCCTCCTTTCTACCCACGAAAAACAAACACAATCATGAACACACCTTAAGAGACACGCATCAACAGGGGCAGACCCACGCTCAGATACTTCCTGGACAGAAAATCAGACACATGCGTTCACTCACCCATGCCTCGATGCCCACAGATAAACAAATGAGACAGTGACACACACCCACGCAGGACCCACACGAGACCCACGTCCAGACACATGATCACCCACAACCAACACAGGTATACCCCACCCCCTCGGTATACTGACAGACACGCTGACACTCTCCAGCTCAAGCACTCGGCATGTACCCCATCCCAGCCTGACACACAGCCTTCTGCTGCCCTGGCCCACAGGCGGGCCTGGCGTATTTTGGCACCAGCAGGAAAGCAGGCCCTGGCAGGCAGCACCAACAGTAGGGATGGAGGGGTCAGAGGTCCCCTGGGGTCACCCCCTCGATATCTTTCAAGACAGCACCTCCTCTTCCCACCTCGGGGACCACGCACACAGCATCTGGACCGTTTAGCCCAGATGCCTGGCAGTTGGGCGGGTTTTGCTGGACTAGGACTCTGGCCCACCCACCAGCTGCAAGAACACCGGGGCTCATCAGGACTGAGGGCGGGGGTGGGGGTGGGGGGGAAGCAAGAATTGAGCCAACCTAGTTATCCACACTGGGTACTTAGGGCTGCAGGAGGCAAGGAGCCCAGCGTGGCCCAGAAGAATTCCTCTGTTGCTGTTAGCAGGCTCGGGCCTGGGTGTACTCTTCCCTTTCTCCTTCTCTCTTCTGTCCTCCCTTCTCCCCTCTGCGAACACTTCACTCTCCTGGGTGACCTCTCCTGACTCCCTCACCTCGTGTTTTGTTGAGACCCAGTTGCTCTGGGGCACTATTGGACTGACTCACCCTTCCCGCGCATCCCAGACTTGTGGGCTCTAGGAAGGCATCTCTCCTTCTATTCCTGAGCCTCTGAATTTGGGGAGCCCCCAGGAATGCCTTTGCCTGAGAGGGATCTCTGCTCCACCCAGACTGGGGAAGGGGGTGGTCCTAGTAACCCAGATTGGTGAGAGGTGACTTCTTTTAGAAAAGTCAGCTGGTGGCCGTGTGGAAGGGGAGGACTAGGATCCCAGGTGCCCAGGCAGACCCAGAAGGAAAATAAGAGTACCCTCTACCAGCTTTGTTTTACCCACAGGCCTGGGAAGTTAGCTCCTCTGGCCCGGCCAGGGTCCCCAGAAACTGTGGCTGAAAAATGGTGATGTGCTTTTAGGGAAGAGACTGAGATGGCAGGGCAGGTACAGACACCAAAGGGAGTCGGCCTAGTTTACTTGTCCTGGGGCCTCTACTCACCGACTTTCTTCACCTGTCTTTGCCTCCTTGCGCGCAAAATTTCCGCCCGGCGCAGGGAGGTTGGCGGGGCGGTAACAGTCCGGAATTTTTCCCCGCCTGGGTAATTAACCAAGGTTTCCCCTAGGACCAGCGTGCCTCCCACCAATCCAACCGCCTCTTCTACCCCCATGTCTGCTGGATAGGGTGGGGGCCTGGACACGCGGGGCCCCTCTTTCCCTGGAATGGGGTGGGGGGGACGGCCGCGGACCCCTGGCCCCAGGGAGGCAGCCCCGCCTAATCCGCGCTGGGAGATCCCGGCGGCGGCGGCCGGCAGCGGGCGAGAAAGGGGCCGGGCGGCGGGGCCGGCGGCTCCCCGTGGGAGCGGGGACAAAGCCCCAGCTGCGGCTTTTGTGCCCTTTTCAGACGGCGTTTGTTCCAATTACCTCCGGCCCGGCCGCCATATGGGCGGAGGCGGCGCGCTCCGCGCGGGGGCCGGGGCCCTCGCTGGCTAGCCGGCTCGCTACGAACCGTGGCCGTCCCCCATCGCCGTCCCTTAGGGGCCCCAAATTCGCCGCTTCCAACCTTTCTCGTCACTTACGGGGAGAATGGAATGAGTGGTTTTTAAAAAGTAATTGGCGACCGTTTTAGCTGTTGCCTAAACCGTCTCCAAGCCCGCCTCCGGACACTCCCCATTTGGACTGATGTCACGGAGGGTTTGGGGAGGGAAGGGGGCGGCAGGGGGAGTCCAGCACTCGGCCCGGCGACAGACCCCGGCCCTCAACAGGAGGCGTGCGTTTGCTGAAGAGACCCCGGCTTCTGGACGCGCTGGTTTTCCCTCCGCCCAAAGCGGGTTATTGTCAAGGGTGCTCCTTTCGTGGGGTCCCACGACCCACTCTTTCGGGGGCGACCCGAGGGGGAGGAAAAGAGGCCCTGTCCTCTGTTCGGAAGGGCTTAGGGAAGGGGGCTTTAGGAGGAGGTCACGGGAATTGACTCAGAAACACTTTGTTGAGAATGGGCTGGTTTGTAATCTGGAGCCACTGCGTTTCCCGACTTTGTGGGCAAAATTCGAATTTGTGCATGGGCCGATAGCTATCGCCAGATTAGTAAAAGGGCTCAACGTCCCCCAAATGCCCCCAAAACTTTGGGAGTCCTGGCAAACCCACCCCGGGGGACCCAGCTTTTACCCCAAGGCGCACGGATCTCTGGACGTGGCCTGGCGAGTGTTCTTATCGTCCACCCCTCCCCAAATCTCTGGGGCTCAGCTTCCTCCATTCCTGGCCAGGTGAGCCGGGGCAGCCGGTCGGGCCCCACATTCACCGGGGTAGACTAGGGGGCGCAGCGCAGGAAGGGGAGGGCGCTGAGGCCGCCTGGCATGGTCCGCGGCCAGGTTTCGGCTGCCGGGGCCAAACTCGCCAGCGCCACTGCGCTCCGGCTGTGCTTCTCCCAGGCGGGGTTGCCGCCCGATCGCAACCATTTCACCTTCCGGTCTCTTTCCGCCATCTCTGCCTCCCTGCCCTGCTCCGCTCCCGGGTCTCTCAGCCCCCGTGTCTCTGGCCGTCTGTCCGACTCCAGTCGCGCGTCTCTGGACGCCTGTGTCTCCCCACCTTCCATCTTGTTCCTGGGTCTCTCCCCGGGTTTTTTCTGCGTCTCTAACCACGCAGCCGCCTCAGCTTTCTCTTTCCGGCTCCTGGGCTATCTCTGTTTTACTCGAGTAACGCCGGGTGTCTGTCTCAGGCGTGGGTTCAGTGACTGACTCTCTTTTCTTGCCTCCCCACGGACTCTGGGTCTGGGGTGTCTCCTTGCGTCCTGTCCTACCGATCTCTCCCCGTCTCTTTATCTGGCAGTTGTCCAGGGCGTCTTGCTCTCTGTGTATCTCTCGCCAGCTCTAAGACACTGTCTGGAATCCTCTGTCTCTTGTGCTTCCCCCCCGTGACCTCTGTCTCCTCTCTGTCTCTGATTCAGAGAACCTCTGATGTTGAAAGGTGTGTGTCCTTCATCGTCCCTGAGTCTCTCCCAGCTCCTGAGACTGTAGCCTTTCCGTCTCACTGGTTGTCTGTCTCCCCAGCATGAACTCTGGGTCTGGCCTTCCGTCTCACTGGCCTGCCTCTCCCTTGGTCTCCGCAGGCCTCTCCACGGGTCTTTCTCTAACCTCGAGTCTGTGTCGCGTGGTCCCCATGAACGTCCTGTCCCGCCAGCCCCAACCGCATCTGCATCTCTCTGCCCTTGGTCTCCCTGGGTCCCCTCCCCTGGATCTCCTCCCCCAGGTCCCTTGAGTCCTCCCTAAGCGACCTCCCTATCTCTCACTCTCCCCTCTGCCGCTCTGTCCCCTCCGCAGACTACCAAGGAGACTACTACGCGCCAGGGGGCAACTATGACTTCTTTGCGCACGGCCCGCCGTCGCAGGCTCAGTCCCCGGCCGACTCGAGCTTCCTGGCCGCCTCCGGGCCCGGCTCCACGCCGCTGGGCGCGCTGGAGCCGCCGATCGCCGGCCCGCACGCCGCAGACAACCCCAGGTTCACCGACATGATCTCGCACCCGGACACGCCGAGCCCCGAGCCGGGCCTGCCGGGCTCTCTGCACCCTATGCCGGGCGAGGTGTTCAGCGGCGGCCCCAGCCCCCCNGGGAGCATTAGGGAGAACAGAGATCAGGTTTGAATATGTTAATTTTAGGATGCCTACTAGGTATCCAGATTTATTTAGATAATACTCAAGGATGATCCAAATCAGTAAAAACAGTTGCTATATTGTTAGGAATTGCTAAAAAAAATTTCAGGTGGCTGTATTCCTTTCCTGAAAAAAAAAAAAAAAACCACCAAAAAAAATCAACTTTTTTAAAAAGAAAGATTAATAAAAAATTCTTTTTTCCCTCCATGCTGTGTGATTTTTTTTTTTTTTCCTTTTCCTTTTTGCCTCTGTCTTCAGTCACTCTGAATTAATGGAACTATTCTGGTTCTAGTTTCTGACATAAAAACAGATTTGATGGATGCAAAGACCTCTCATCTAGCAGGGTGATGGGAGGGGTTCTTTTGGCAACTAACAGGTAAGGAAGATGCCTGCCATTTTTTTTTGACAGCTATGATGCACCAATAGTATCTCCCCCAGTTTTATGTAATACCCTGATCTAACACAAGCCAACCTGGCACATAGTAGGCCTTCAAAATATTTGATGACTAAATGGATGTGTGACTTGTTTATCACCAGAGCAATTCGAGCTTCACTCATTACTTCTCTGGGTAATTCCAGATGGCAAAAACAAAACTGAACATACAAATAGCAGGTTGGGACTTGCCAGGCAGTCCAGTGGTTAAGACTCCACATCTCCATTACAGGGGTCGTGTGTTTGATCCCTGATCAGAGAACTAAGGTCCCACATGCCTAGTAGCGTGGACAAAAAGAAAAAAAGCAGGCTGGTAGGTCCAGTGCTACAAGGCTGTGTTAGAACAGAAATGCCCGCAGGGAGAATAAGGCTGTTCGTCCTGCAATTCTTAACACAGTGCCTGCTTGGGTCCTTTGGTAAACCAGCATGGTGGAAGGGAGTTCTTGAGGAGATTTAATGGGTCTGAGGCTACTCCCTAAAGACAAGTCCCTCCCTCCCTCTGCCTCAGTTTCCCTACTTTCAAAAGTGGGGACTAGAGGGAGTCCTTTCTATGACTTCATTCTCTTGCAGCTCAAACACTGTAGGATGAGAAAAACAGATGAGAAGAGAAAATAGATGGAAGAGGGTCCTGCATTTGGATGCCTGTTCTCCCAAGCTTAGGGTGGGGGAGGGGCTTACCCATTTTAGCAGCAGCAGGAGAAGGAGGGGGACCGGGGGCTTGTGGGGAGTGAACCACCATGGAATGGACACAGGCTAAGAGCCCTTCTCGTCTCTCCTTCTTTCATTCAGACATCACAAGAATAATTCGAGGTGACCTGACTTTTTCTTTTCTTTCCTTATAGCACATTTGTCTTTATCAGACAAATGCTACTTGCTCGTGGTGGAAAATCTAGAAAATGCAGATAAGCAAAAGAAAGAAAAGATAATCCCCTGGAATCTCAAGTAAACGAGTTGATACGTTTCTTTCCAGATTTTTTTATTTTTTTCCTTTTCATTTTGAGACTAGAGATCACGCACACATAGACACAGAGCATAGACTTGCCCTTGGCATGCTCACAACTCCAGGAGCACCAGGCATCTGGGAGAGGCCCACTCTTGAATAACCCTGGAGTGGTCCCATTAAGATCTCAGAGGGAGGCTCCAGAAACCAGAGTCCAGGAGGGATGTGATCTCTGGGGTCATGATCAGGACTTGAGGCTGATTCCCCATGAGTTCTAGCTCTGAGTGTTGGTGTCAGGAGGGCTGGGAGCAGAGCGCTCACCTAGGAGTGGGATAAGGGTAAAACAGAAGAAGGGCCCTGGGCTCCGGGAGACTGGCTGGCTGGTCACTGTATCACCTTTCTGAACCTCAGTATGCCTACCATGAAATGGGCTCACAGTGGCATTTCATCCACGTTAGAGAGATGCAATTTATCCTGTGGCCTAGGTTTGGGAAGTCTAAGTCTTGGGTTCAATCCTCACTCCCATCTTCTACCAACACACACACACCAGCTTCCTTGAATGATGAATGATAAGGGGAGAAAAGGAGATCCTTGTCAAAATCAACTCAAATCCACCTCTACTCCCATGAGCTCATTTCAGCTCCCCTAGTGCCTGCAGGGCCCAGGGGCTCCGGGAAGAGAAATCCCATCCCCACCCCTCTCCTGACAGTGACCCTGCAGGTGTCCCAGTCAATGTCTTGGGTGCACTTAATTTGGGAGATGGTTCCTAAGGAAGGTTGGGTGGAGAAGGAAGAGAGCTGGGGAGGGACATTTGTCCCTAGACACCCACAACCATTGTCTCAAAGTGTGATCAGAGGACTATGCTTCCTAAAAATAAACATCCCTGCCCCCTCCCCCAGCCCATGGCTGGAACTGCTCTCTGGCGTGGTGCCCCAAGTGTTTCACATTTGTTAAGCTCCCCAGCTGCTTCCAAGTCTCCCAAATGTGCAGGACATCTGCTTGAAAAAGACTGATCTGGAGCCTAATTTGATCTGCCACCCCTTTCAGGATGAGTGTTGTTATCCCCATTCTACAGATGAGGAGACTGAGGATCAAGAGGTGCCATGAGCTGCTGGGGGTCACACAGCCTTGCAGTAGCAGAGCCAAGTTTTGAATTAAGAACTGCTCCCGAAGCCTACATTGTCCCTGGACCCAGGACATTGCCTGGCACAGGTAAGACCTCACTCTGCGTCTAGCAAATACACGAATGAATGAATGAAATGAAATGAATGCACTCCAGCTGCCCTAAAAAGAGATTCAAGAAAGACTCTAATGAATGCTAATTCCTACTGGTAGCAACCTCACTGGATTTCGTTTAAAACCCCTTGCCGGGTTAAACAAAATCAACCGGAAGAGCAAAGGCCATGATTAAAATTACCAAGGTCAAAAGACAGAGGACTTCCAGCTTCCCTATGTTTGCCCTTGTTTCTTTCTCTCTCCCTCCCTCCCCATCCCTTTCCTCCTGCATTAATGTATCCGTTCATCTCCTCTATCTCTTCATCGCCTGTATTTATTATCATTTAAAAATAAAAGATCTCCGGTGGGGGGAGGGGTGGTAACCCTCTGAGCTGAGCAGGTAAGGTGAACCAGCCGCTGGCTGTGCCCTCCAGCTCTGGGAAAAGCGGAACATCATGCCTCCCTCATTGCCCTGAGGCTGTAATTCTGGTCAACACTGGACAGTGAACCCACATGTATTCCAGCCCCTGGCGTGCATGCTTTCCCCCGTTTCTGTCCTCCAGCCCCGAAATGAACACCCCACGGAGCCAGAGCGCAAGATCTGACCCACTGTGCTTAGGACTAATATTTAAAATGCAGAATGGCTGTGGAGGGCTCCTGCTCCCAAGCCTTGTCGTGCAGTAAAAAGATATAAACAGAATAAATTACCTCTCCAGCTCGGATTATGAGAATACCCATCTCCTGACCAGAATTTTAAGTCCTGCCTCCCTCGTCGCGCTGCACCCGGCTGATTTATGGAAACCCAAGCACTTCTCTGCATATTTCTCCTGTTCAGCCAAGTGACCGAGTTTACCCTTCCTATGCCATTAGCGTTATTAACACCTGGGCAACTGATCATTGCAAATGGGCCATTTCTGTGATGAACAGAAACCTCTCCCGCGGCTTCTCTGGGGCTTTGCCACCTCTGGCCTCCTCTTTCTGCATTGCATGCCAGGGCTGGGGACCCACCCCATCACCTGCTGATGGGCTCCAGCGGGGACTTTGGAGAGGAAACCTCTCACCTTGGCAGGTGTCTGTGGCTTTCAGGCAAGCACGCAAGAAATGACACCACGACTCACTTTTTGTGCCTCAGAGAATGTTCCAGATGAGGGCAATTCTCCCCCCCCCCCCACTGCCGCCCCACTGAGCAGGGAAAGAAACTGAGGCTCAGAGATGGCGAAAGACTAGCCTGAGTTCCCATCAAGAGTTGATGGCAGAGCTGGGACCTAAATTCAAATCTTCTAGCCTCATGTTACTCAAAGTATGGTCCATGGACCAGCAGCAGCAGCAGCACCTGGGAGCTGGGTGGAAATGCGGAATCTCAGGCCCCACCCCAGACCTTCAGAACCAGAGGGCACAAGCCCCGGGAGACTGGGGCACGCGTTCAGTTTTTTGAAGCATTCACTTAGAATCGCCAGATTCTCCATGGTCCCTTTCTCACTGGAGGAAAACCTGATGGTGTAAATTCTCTTTGCTCAGATGCAGCAAAGACTCCACTCCCACACTCACACCCAGTGAAGATGAAGCAGCCGGTCAAACCAGAGTCACCCACGTGAACACCCGGAGTGCTCGGGTCATTGCTTCCTCCATTGTAACCTCACAGCCCATGTTGTGTCTGTCTCCATCCCCAGGCTGTTAGCAACTTGAGACCGGGAAGTGTGTGTGATTGATTCCAGGCACTCAACCTCTCTGAGCCTTAGTTTTCCCATCTATAAAAAGGGCACAATAAGATCTAACTTCATGGGACTGCCTTGGCAGTCTAACGGTTAAGACTCTGTGCTTCTGATGCAGTGGGCATGGGTCAGATCCCTGGCTGGGGAAGATCCCACATAATGCAAGACACGGCTTAAAAAAAAAAAAAGATAGGACGTCAAGAGTCATCACAAGGGTTTTCCAATAATAAAGTAATAATAAAAAATAAAGAAAAGAACTTTCCAAAGGTTTCCAAAACTATTTTGAGAACTGTGGAACAAGTACAAATTTCCAGAGGAACTCTCTCAAGGACAACACAATTTTAAAACATAAATTATGTGTGCTCGTGTTCAGTCGCATCCAACTCTTTGCAACCCCATGGGCTGTATAGCCTGCCAGGCTCCTCTGTCCATGGGATTTCCAAAGCAAGGACCCTGGAGTGGGTTGCCATTTCCTTCTCCAGGGGATCTTCCCCACCCAGGGACGGAACCCTCATCTCCTGTGTCTTCTGCATTGTCAGGTGGCTTCTTTACCACCGAGCCACCTGGGAAGCCCATATGGAATATTATGCAGCCATAAAAAAGGAATGAAGTGCTGGTACATGCTGACACATGGGTGGACCTTGAAAACATGGTGCTAAGTGAAAGAAGGCATTCACAAAAACCCCACGTATTGTCTGATTCCTTTTATACAAAATGTCCAGAACAAGTAAATTATAGAGACAGAAAGCAGATTGGTGATTGCCAGGGGTTGGATGGAATAGAGGTGTGGACAGTGACTACTTTGTAGGGACAGGGTGTCCTTTTTGGGTGACAAAAATGTCCTGGAACTGGAGAGAGGAAGTGCTTTCACAACATTGTGAAGGTAACAAATGCCTCTGTCATAAATTATATGTGCTCGTGTTCAGTCGCATCCAACTCTTTGCAACCCCATGGGCTGTATAGCCTGCCAGGCTCCTCTGTCCATGGGATTTCCAAAGCAAGGACCCTGGAGTGGGTTGCCATTTCCTTCTCCAGGGGATCTTCCCCACCCAGGGACGGAACCCTCATCTCCTGTGTCTTCTGCATTGTCAGGTGGCTTCTTTACCACCGAGCCACCTGGGAAGCCCATATGGAATATTATGCAGCCATAAAAAAGGAATGAAGTGCTGGTACATGCTGACACATGGGTGGACCTTGAAAACATGGTGCTAAGTGAAAGAAGGCATTCACAAAAACCCCACGTATTGTCTGATTCCTTTTATACAAAATGTCCAGAACAAGTAAATTATAGAGACAGAAAGCAGATTGGTGATTGCCAGGGGTTGGATGGAATAGAGGTGTGGACAGTGACTACTTTGTAGGGACAGGGTGTCCTTTTTGGGTGACAAAAATGTCCTGGAACTGGAGAGAGGAAGTGCTTTCACAACATTGTGAAGGTAACAAATGCCTCTGAATTGTTCACTGTAAAAGGGTTAGTTTTATGTTATGGTTAACTTCATGTTAAAAGTATGTGGGAGAAAGAATATCTTTTATCTGGGCACCTACAGAACATGCCAACTTTACTAAAAAAGAAATTCCGGAAGCTGGGACTTCCCTGGTGGCCCAGTGGCTGAGACTCTGTACTCCCAATGCAGGGGGGCCCAGGTTTGATCCCCAGTCAGGGAACTAGATCCTGCATGCCACAACTAAGAACTGGCATAGCCAAATAATATTTACAAAAAGAAAAGAAATCCTGTTGCCCAGCAGAGAACTTGGGAACCTGTGCTCATACCTGCTGCAGATGCTCAGGCAATAGCTGCTTCTCACCAGCAGAAATTGCAGGATGAAGACTGCCTCCCAGGCCTTTTGGGGGTCCCTGTGATCAAAACCACTAGCATTGTGGGATGCTGCCAGACTATTATTTCACCAACAGGACACCGACCCACAGGAGGAACTGGTGCCTGGTGTCTCCTGAGTAACTCACTGCCTTTTCAGATATTTTTCAGCCCTTCTGATTGTTTGAGAGCGAATCTCTGGTGCTAGCTTGCTTACGCCGGCAGGCTTGGAGTCTCAGCACAACAGAAGCTGGCTATGAGGTAATGGCATCATTTTGTTTTTCCTTTTATTTATTGCGACATAGATCTAATTCTGGGAAGTGATACTGTTTCTCCATTTAGAGTAGTGATAACATTCTCTTTCTAAACAGCATTTAAGGTTTCAAGAAGCATGTGAATTAGGTAATAGTAAAGATGATGCATAGGTCCGGCACAACCCTCATTGGCAATATGGGTTTGGGGATGATATTTCAGGAATGTGGGCATTCAGAGAGAACTGATCCCTACAGACCCATTCCAGGTCACTGGAGACTTCTCTCTTTTTATTTCTTTAATTGCTTATCTGTTTATTTTTTGGCCGTGTGGCATGTGGGATCTTAGTTCCCTAGGCAGGGATGAAATCTGTGCCCACTGCAGTGGAAGCAGAGTCTTAACCATTCAGCCCCATGTGATTTTCCGTTTGGGACTAGTTTTGGTGTGGCTGTGCTGTGTGACTAGGAATTGATTATTCACCCTCTCTGGACCTCAGCCTCATCATCCGGAAAATGGGTGTGGGAGGTGGAACGAAGCCCCTGAAGTCAATTTGTCCAGACTACCTGCCTCCCGGAATCTTCTTTTCATTCATTCATTCAGTTATCAGAAAATATATGTTGAAATAATATGCACTGGGCACCCTCCTGGGCCCTGGATTACAGATGTGAATAAGATAGATTTGCTACCAGCCCTCACTGAGCTGATATTTTACTGGGGGAGACACACAGTAACCAGGAGAAAATAATTGGTAATTTCAAATAGTGGTAGGAAAAGAGGGTGGTGAGATTGAGAATAACTGGCTGTTAAAACAGGCAGTCAGAAGGCTTCCCTGGCGGTCCAGCAGTTAAGACTCCACACTTCCAATGCAGGGGGCATGGGTTTGATCCCTGTTTGGAGAAATAAGATCCCACATGCTGCATGGTAGAAAAAAAAAGTTAACATTGCATTTGATGAAAATTAAAAATAATAATAATCTTTTAAAAGGCAGTCAGGCCAGGTTTGAGTGAGACAAGCAGGGTACTTGGGTGAAAATACCCAAAACTCAGGAATCAAGATAAATAGTATTTCCATATAATATTTTGAAAACTCAAAACTCATGCAAAACAATCCATAATGAACAGAATGGTAACCTTTTAAATAAAGACAGAGTCTGACAGATCTGTCATTCGGGTGAGGCGAGGTGGCCAAGTGCAAGGTGAGATCCTATCTTTATGTAAAAATGTCGCTATTTTATTCACCAGGAATGTGTTTTGCATGTATTTTTCATTTTAGAGTTGTTTGATTCCAATCTTTTTTTCTTATTTCTGAGGGTTTTTTCCTGTTTTTAAAATTTATCTTAAGTTTTGTGGCACCCGTTACATTTTGCTTCAAAAGTTAGTGCCTCCCTCGCCTCGCCCTCGTCCTGGCCCTGAGTGTCAGGCAGTGGGTCAGGAGGGCCCCCCCCGAGGAGGTGAGGCTGCAGTCCAGGATGACAAGTTGCCGACTTGGCTGAGATCTGGAAGAGTATGACAGGCAACGGGAACAGCACAGACAGTAGCCCTGCGACAGAATCAAGCTTGGTGAGTTCTAGAAAGAGAAAAAGCTGCAGTTTGGTGAGTCTAGGGGAGAGACCTCAGAGGTCTGCAAAACCAGATGATACAGGGCCCGTTGGGCCTAGGTGAGGGGTCAGCCCTTTATCTGAAACGCAACCAGGGGTAGGGAAGAGTTTCAGCAACAGGAGCGAAACTCTGCCTTGGGTTTAAGACTATTCTGGGGACTTCCCTGGTGGTCCAGTGGTGAAGAATCGCCTCCCAATGCAGGGGATGCCGGTTCAATCCCTGGTCGGGA